GAGAACACACCTATATTATGCATTTAAGACATTTATAACTCACATCATAACTTGTTTGAATGTCTATTTGTGAGCATAATGATTACTACAAGAGTAATATTTACCATAAAGCAATATCTAAATTTTAATAAAATACATATATTAATCAATATAATATATAATATAATATTAACTATCAACATATTAATTTGGAGGAAAGGGTGGGTAAATTTTTCAATTATCAAAACATGTGATCTCTAAGTCGACGAAATACAGAATGACCAAAATTCCGAGGAAACAAATGGTCAAAAATATTTACCGCCAAAAACAGAAGCGACCATCCCCAGAAGGGTCAACTTTTTTTTTCTTTCTTTTTTTTCTTTTAACATTATTTATGTATCTCTCGTGTCCCATTTAGAAAGAAAAAAGTGTTTAATTTTGATTTTTTAATTTATATAGGTATTTATTGGCTAAATTATGCTAAATCTAGTAATAAATATGGTACCTGATATTTTCAAAGTGTAATATAATCAAAACTAGACGGTAAATGTATTTCATATTTTACAAGATCAACCAATATACTTTTTTAAAAATTTAGGGAAACTTTGATAACAGACACTCATTTGAGTAAATTTTAAGGATTTTTTAAATTAGGCTCCCTAAGTAGTAAAATGGTCAGACACGTGGTAAAAATGGGTGGGGTAGGGTAACATTTTTATACAGATTTCATAAATTTTAAGTAGAAACCATAATTTTGCTTATGTGGATTGTTAGCTAAATGGTACTATTTGTTTCTTGCCAAAAATTAATGGGAAAACATTTTTCATTAGAATGTTATTGCAGATTATCTAAAGGTTCCTCATTTCTAAAAAAAAAGGCCTTCATAACATCCTAGCTCGAGTACAGAAAAGTGGCCATAACTTGATTTCCGTACGGTAAACTTTGTTTAAATTTTGCATACATGTGTACTTTAAGGTATACATCTGACCTATGATGTCAATTTTTTAGTTCCTGATAGTGCCCATTAGGGTCCTCATACCTTAAATTGGATCGTTTGTAAAAAATGTTTGGCAATTTTGGAAAAGAGTCACTTATTAAACAGAAGTCAAATATCATCTATGTGTGTGATTTTTATAGAGAGAGCCAGTGCAAAAAAAATAATGAAAGTTGCAACAACTATGTAAAATGTAGTGTTTTATAAAAAAAAGGAAGTGGCTAGCCAAAAGTTCTAGCCGTACGTGAGTCACGTACGACTAGCCTGAATACACTGTATTGGCTAGCCGTTCGGCACTTTTCAAAAATATATGGAAGTCGAAAATGCATATGTTATTTTGTGTCTTTAAACAACGATTTTAATTAAACTAGTTTGTTCACTTTAGTAAAGATGCTCCGCAATTTTGCACACAAAAAAAATGAATATGAGTAAGCGTTCACGGTTGTATAATCTATCTTGTCAAAGTTGCATGTTATAACGTCCTTAATTTCCATGCTTATTATTTGTATGAAAGATGAATTGTTAAATCTGTTAATTAAGCACATGGATCGAATAACTAATGATCGGAGGGGAATAAATAAATAAATTAAAAGAATATTAGAAAAAAAGGTGAAAAGGAAAAATAATTTAATAATGCAAACTTTCCTTAATGATGGACGATGGACAAACTTCTACATACCGACGGTAATTGACGCATTTATCAGAGCCCAACAACAATTATTTTCGGTGTTTTTTTTTGTGTTTTTTTTTTCAAATTAAAAATTAAACTTAATCTGGGACATACGATAAGTATATCGTATATCCCAGACTTAATGAAACAAAAAAGGATTATTATTAAATTTTGTAAACTATTTCAATTGTTGTTATTTAACTGCAACCAAACCTATTTTTGAGATGTCAAAGTACATTCTTTTCTGTAGTCAACGCGTCGATTAATCTCTAAAAAGTAGACATTCTTGACTAAAATCCTCGCTTTAAGTCATAATTAACATATGCACTTTCGCCTTCCATATATTTTTGAAAAGTGCCGTACGGCTAGCCAATAAGGGTCTCCCTAATTACCGACAAGAACCGTCAGGAACCGACAAGAACCGACAAGAGCCTATATATTACAAATAAACACGTACAAAAGTGTTTTTATGATTGTTAAACATGCAGGGCATATATATTTTTCATATTTGATAAGGGTTTTCTTGTATTTTTATAGAAAATTAAATATATGCGTACCGACAAGAAAAAGTCGAGTGCAACGCGTACTGTTACTGTTACGTTGTTTACTGCTATTTGATTGTTTTATTACTTATAACTTTTGATAAATGATCTGTTGTGTGAGAAATGTCCGTCTCTAACAACCAGAAACATTTCATAAAAATTAACGTTAGTTGAAAATGATTGTCTATGTTTGGTGTTCTTAAACACCAGTTATGAATATTAAAGGGAATACAAATTTAAATGAAATCCCTTTCTTCATCTTTCACTCTTATCATATAATATCAATGTTTTGTAACTTATTTTGCAACACACTTTCTTTTGTAAATCAGTATTTTAATTATATGCCAAAATATGCCAACAAATATTAATGAGTCAGCCTCAGATAATACAAATAAGTAACATTTAAAATATTATGTTAAACTCTGACATAGTTATACTAGTATTGTATGTAATTCTCTTATTTAAGATAGCTGTATGTCAATTGATTTCTTTAAAGAACAATAGGTGTTTACCAGTCACACAATTTAATCTTTACCTTATGATAAAATGAATGTTTATTCAATGTTGTTCATTGCTATGGCATTGTGATGCTTGACAATACAGTATATGTCCTGGCCAGCCCGGGGTTCTATGATATCACGGTACTTGACGTTTATTAGAAAATATTTCAATATAAAAATCACACACAGACATGGATGAAATTTGTGTTCTGTTTAATAAGTGACTCTTTTCTAAAACTGCCAAACATTTATTACAAAAGATCCAATTTAAATGTTAGTTTATAAACTATTTAATAAAAGGTATGCTAGTGGCAAAGGTAAAACAAATAAGGTACATAAATGATTATGTCAAATGTGGTTGCTAGCTTTGACTCTAAACTGGGACAGAAAGATACATAACTCTGAAGATTCTTCAGGTAAACTTCTTCAACCAAAAGAACTAAAAAAGTTTGTTTTTCTGGTGTTCACTTTATGGGCTCAATATGACTTTCAGTCATGCAATCACTGGAAACATTTAAAGAACTGTTTCAAAGCGAGGACACATGATGTCTTCATCTGTCCATGTCATAACACTGAAATACTGAGGAACAGTCCATATAAGAAGTAATATCACACAGGTCAATTTTTATATGGAAGGACAGATTTACCGTATATTTAATACATTGATTAAATAACTGAAGACACGTGATTGATAAAAAAAAATGACAGGTAACGCCATACTTTTTGGATTTCTGTTTATTTTTAGCTCGCCTTTTTTTTTTTGAAAAAAAAGTAGAGGTATTGTTATAGTCGCGGCGGTGTTGTCGTTGCCATTGCCGTAGCCGTTGCTGTTGCCGTCTGCAAACTTGTACCTGGATCATTACTTTTTTATTTCTTGGTGTATTGTCTTCATACTTGGCCACAACAACCCTTGGGACAAGGCCTTTCAATAGACCACACTAACCTTGACCTTCATCTATAAATGACATTGACCTTCAAGGTTAAAAGTCCAAATTTTGCTTGTTCATGCTGTTATTGACTGTAACTTTCTTATTTTTGAATGGATTGTCTTCAAACTTGAACATAATAATCTTCAAGGATATCCCTTAAAAATAACCTGACAGACCTTGACCTTCACTCATAAATGACCTTGACTTTGAAGGTCAAATTATTGAAATTTTCATGTTTTTGGCTACTATTGGCTGTAACTTTGTTATTTTTGAATGGATTGTCTTCAAACTTGAACATAATAATCTTCAAGGATAACCCTTAAAAATAACCCGATAGACCTTGACCTTCACTCATAAATGACCTTGACTTTGAAGGTCAAATTATTGAAATTTTTATGTTTTTGGCTATTATTGGCTGTAACTTTGTTATTTTTGAATGGATTGTCTTCAAACTTGATCATATTAATCTTCAAGGATAATCCTTAAAAATAACCCGACAAACCTTGACCTTCACTCATGAATGACCTTGACTTTGTTTTTGCTGTAACTGGCTGTTACTTTGCTATTATTGAAGGGATCAACTTCATATTATAACAGAACATACTTAAAGACAAGACCTTGTTGTTTATCATGACTTCACCACGTGACTACACAACATGACCCCACCACGTGACTGCAACACATGACTTTACCACGTGACTCCATCACGTGACCCCACCACATGACTCCACCACGTGACTTCCAAGTGACACCACATCGTGACTCCACCACATGACTTCAACGTGACTCCACCACATGACTCCACTACGTGACTTCACAACATGACTCCACCATGTGACTCCACCAGGTGACTCCACCACAAGACTTCACCACGTGACACCACCATGTGACTTCGAATTGGGTGTCTTTATTTATATATATATATATAAATTAGTAAATTTTTATGCATAAAATATATAGACAAAACTGATGTGAAAAAACAGAATGATTAATTTTATAAAAACCCATCGGCAGCGACACATTTTATGTTTCCAATACACATAGACCTGCAAACTTTCGGCCTCACAATTTACTCAACACAACCACATACTGCATACAGCCATTTCATGTTTCATATGATAATTATTACATGTATCTAACACTACAATCTGGAGACAATGCCCGGTTTGGCTTAAGACATGAAAAATCCTATATCTAGAAAAATTATTAATATTGTTTCTATCTAACTTGTTTTGTTTATAAAGCTTATATATGATACAAACCAAAATAATAAAAAAAAATTAGTTAATGTTCTACATTGATAAATATTGAAACATCTTCTTTTAACGACTAACCAATATGTGAAATATGAAGACTTTTTGATTAAAAGTTTTAAAGACAATGAGCAAGTATCATTCTGACATTTCAGGCACCTGTGACCTTGAGCTTTGAACTAGTAAACAAATCAGTAGGGGTGATTTACTTTATACGACTAACCAATATGTGAAATATGAAGACTTTGTGGTAAATAGTTTTTAATTGATAATCAGTGGAAGCCACGTGGTCTTCAGACGGACAGACCGACCGTCAGACATGAGCAAAACATATACCCTGTCATCTTCTGTTCAACATTCTTGTGTTTATCAGATACAGAAGAATGAGTTGATATTTCTCAGTAAGTGTAAAAGTTAATAACTGAAAACATTTTAATCATCTTAGAATTTTAAAAATAATATTTGGAAAAAATAAACAGAATCTGCAGAAGTCTAAAATGGTAAAATTTGTAAACTATTAGTTTTTTGTGAATTATGCAAGTAAAATGTGTGATAAATTGTTATCTTTTATTTAGGGTCTTAATTGAAGCAAAGAAATACAAGCTGACAAGATGGTGGACAGTAAAGACACACTTTGTGAGAAGTTATCATCTCAATTGCATCATGAGTGTGAAGTGTGTTATAAAGCGTTTTCTACAGAAACTTATCTTATCAGTCATATGGCAATACACACTGACATGAAAAAGCACAAGTGTGAAATATGTTATAAAGCGCTTTCCACGCGAGGTAATCTTATCAGACATATGACAATACACACTGGCGAGAAGAAACATAGGTGTAAAGTGTGTTATAAAGCGTTTTCTACACGAGGTAATCTTACCATACATATGACAACACACACTGGCCAGAAAAAACATAAGTGTGTAGTATGTGATAAAGCATATTCTACAGGAAGTAATCTTATCAGACATATGACAGTACACACTGGTGAGAAAAATCATAAGTGTGTAGTATGTGATAAAGCCTTTTCTACACGAGGTATTCTTATCCCCCATATGGCAACACACACTGGTGAGAAAAATCATAAGTGTAAATTCTGTGGTAAAGCATTTTCTCAACGGAGTAATCTTACCAGACATATGACAATACACACTGGTGAGAAAAATCATAAGTGTGTAGTATGTGATAAAGCCTTTTCTACAGGAAGTAATCTAAACAATCATATGACAATACACACTGGCGAGAAAAATCATAAGTGTGTAGTATGTGATAAAGCGTTTTCTAGACAAAGTAGTGTTATGGGACATATGGCAAAACACACTGGCGAGAAGAATTATAAATGTGAAGTGTGTGATAAAGCATTTTCCTCACGAAATTCTCTTATCATACATATGACAATACATACTGGCGAGAAGGATTATAAATGTGTAGTGTGTGATAAAGCATTTTCCTCACGAACTTCTCTTGTCATACATATGACATACATACAGGCGAAAAGAATTATAAATGCGAAGTATGTGATAAAGCATTTTCTACACAAAATACTCTTATCACACATATGGCAATACACACTGGCGAGAAAAGATATAAGTGTGACGTTTGTGATAAAGCATTTTCTCAAAGCAGTTCTCTTATTAGGCATATGACAATCCACACTGGCGAGAAAAGATATAAGTGTGACATGTGTCATAAAGCGTTTCCTACAGGAAGTAATCTTATTAGGCATATGACAATACACACTGGCGAGAAGAATCATAAGTGTGAAGTGTGTAATAAAGCATTTTCTGATAATAGTTATCTTAGCAGGCATATGAAAATACACACTGGCAATAAGAAACATTAGTGTGCAGTGTGTGATAAAGCATTTTCTACACAAAGAAGTCTTATCAGTCATATGATGGTACACACTGGCAAGAAGAAACATAAAGTGTGAAGTATGTGATAATGGGTTTTCTGCATCAAATAATCTTATCAGACATATGACAACCACACTGGCGAGAAAAAACATGAATGCGGCATGTGTGATAAAGCTTTTTCTCAACATACTCATCTTATCACACATATGACAACACACACTGGTGAGAATAAGTAAATAATACTGTGACACATATAGCAAACATGCTGGTGAGTGAAAAACATAGATGTAAAGTGTGTCATTAAGCTTATCCAACATGGTTCTTTAAACTAATATATGGCATTACACACTGGTGATAAAAACATATGTTTGAAGTTCACAGGTAACCAATCCTTTTTTTAAAAGAAATGTTGTTAAATCACACATGTTGAATTAGCACCATGGAGCTAAATATAGATTGTATACATATCTGTGATCGCACTAGTTGTTTAACGTTTTAAGCAGAGTTTTCTATTATGATTTTACTTTTGCTTGATCGAAAGAACAAGATGTTTGTTTGGTTTAAGAAAGTTATTTTATCAGTTTTTCAGTTTGATTAATTAAACAATAAGCCTGTCTGTTATCTTTATTTTATTATTATACCCCCAAAAACGAAGCTTGAGGGGTATATAGGAGTCACCCGGTGGTTGATAAGACAGACTGATGAAATTTATAAAAAGGAAACGTTAAAGATTTGTTCAAATATTTCTTTGTTTGATTTTAGAAAAAATAAAAAGTCGAGCGTTGCACCCGCCCGGCGGTGGCTCTTGTTTACATAATCACTTAACAAACGATGAACAAAGAATTACTGATTCACTAACAATTCAAAACCTACAGGGAACCGTCATATACAAATATAAGAAATTTCAGACAATAAAAATGATTCTGTTAAGCTTGCTAGCTTATCAATGTATAACGGAGAATATATTTTTCAAACTATTAATGTTGTAAATTACATAAAGAAATAGTGATGAACACGGTGATTGCAGCTGTTTCTTTCATACTTTGATTCTTGGCTTACATGATAATTCTCAAAAAAAATATTATTATAGACATTTATTATGCTCACACATTATTACACTTTTTCAGTATCAAACTAACTGAAACATTTCATTGAAAAAGTATAATTCTCAATCATCATTGAACACAAGATATATTTTATAAAATACATATTTAAATGAGAATTGAAATTCTCTTATTTATGACCATGATATATATATATATTCAAAATATTTATTTGTTAATGAGTGTTTACTGCCTATTTGATTGTTTTATTACTTATTACTATTGATAAATGGTCTGTACGTAGTGTGAGACATGGCCGACTCTTACAACCAGAAACATGAATCATAAAAATCAACGTCAGCTTTAAATGATTGTCAATGTTTGGTGTCTTTAAACACCAGATAATAATATAAATATTAAAGGGAATACAAATTCAAATGAAATCCCTTTCTTCATCTTTCACTGTTATCATAATATTAATGTCTTAACTTATTTCTAAACACACTTTCTTTTATTAATCAGTATGCCAAAATATGCTAACAAATATTAATGAATCAGCCTCAGATAATACAAATAGGTAACATTTAAAATATTATGTTAAACCCTGACATAGTTATTGCATGTAATTCTTTTATTTAAGATAGCTGTTTGTCAATTTATATCTTTAAAGAACGATCGGTGTTTACAAGTCACATAATTTAATCTTTACGTTGATGATAAAAAACGAATGTTTATTCAATGTTGTTCATTGCTATGCCATTGTGATGCTAGACAATAGTTTGTCCTGGCTAGCCATACGTGACTCATGTATGGCTGGAGCTTTTGGATAGCCTTATGGGCCCGGCCCGTACGTCAAGCAACTTCCTATTGCTATACTGTATAAGATAAGTTTTATTTCATGTCGGCAAGTTTACAACAGTACAACATAATTAAGCTAAGCAAAAAATATTTAAGAAAAAAAAAAAACACTATATAATTGAACTATTGGCGGATTCAGTGTCCTCGTTCATAGCGAATGACCCTCTGTAATGATAAGTGAAGATCACTTCGTACTTACTCCGGAAAAGAGTCAACTCGGCCCTATACCACTCGGCACGGGTCAACTCGGCACGTACGGGTCAACTCGGCCAACTTCACAAAAATATATAACGTATTAACTTTGCTTTGCATGTTGTTAAGGTAAATGAATGATAAGAAATATATCATTATTATATAATTATACATTGTACTTCTGCCGAAATAAAGTATATTTAGAATATAAATCAATAATTTTAATATAAAGCACTGTTTGCTCTTTGTTTTATTTATAAACTCTCTCTTTCTGTCTGCAAAATTTAGCCGTGTTTAAATCGCTAGTTTGGGGCTATTAAATGTCCGATTTTAAAATTTATTACATAATTAAAAGCTGGTGATCTCAGCTTCCTCTATATATTTCAACACATTGTTTGACACTGAAGGTATTTAAATTTAAGATTAAACCTACCACGAGTCAGAAATACAGTGAGATACACAATCTACTGATAAGAAAAGCCTGTCTGCTGCTAGTTCGGAAACTGTCAATCCGTGTATTACAAAATAATTACAATAAATAGTGATAACACCAACCTAAATATTAATAATTGAAAAGTGGGCCGAGTTGACCCGTGCCGAGTTGGAATAGGGCCGAGCTGACTCGGGGCCGAGTACGTTTTAGGGCCGAGCTGACCCGGATTCGTTACTCCCCTTTGATTTATGATCGTCATTTGCACTGAAAGTTTTAAGAATTTGTTTCACTAGATTATCAGGTAACAAAGGTTTAATATTTATAGATTTAGTTTCAATTAGTGCTGTAATTTGTCCATGAGTACATCTGGTATATTGTTACAGTGACACTCAACCTTATTTAACGGAACAACAAATGCTGAAGTTTTGGATATTCTATTGTTTACTCTGTAAATGATTATAGCTGGTATATGAGGTCAGGCATTGCTTTATTGACCCCCAAATTTCAATGTCAACATTCTTGAAATAGACATTAAAATGGGCAGCACGAAATACCCAAATATTGCCCAAATATTGCCCAAATACACCCAAATATTGCCTAAACAAATATTGCCCAATTATACTAAAAATAAATGTTTTATACCAAAAAAGTGCTGTTTTAATCATGAATACAATTTAAGCTTTCACTAAGATACAGTACGCTCACCGCGGGTTTTGCTAATCAACCATACTGTACCCAAATATACATTTCCATATCATTGTGGTTTGAACTAAAATACAGTCTATAACTCTATATGTATACACCATTAAAGCTAATTTTTAAATAACATTGACATTTGTATATGATATGAAATTTCAACAAAATTACACCTTAAGACATACAACAAATATCATATCTTGATTTAAAATTGGAAGTACATTCATAAAGAACCTATGCTGTATAGTAGATAAGCAAATGTCACAACTTTATTTTCTTACAACATCCTAACTGTCCATTTCAATGGAATGAATGAAAATTATAGCAGGCTAAGTCATATTATGTTCAATAAATATTTATTTATTTCTCATTATAATCTATATTTTATACAAACAAAAATAAATATTCCTATATTTGAGTATATTTGGGTGTATTTGGGTATATTTAGGAATTTCGTGTCGCCACATTAAAATATTACCATTTATTGAGGTTGAAATAAAATCATTTACTTAATTTGAAAAGAAATATGCATTTATTGTTAATAAAAAAAAGTGACTGATAACCACTGAATAAAGAAAATACTAAACTAAACATTTAACGGGCCATCTGGGTTTGGTGGTAGTCCGATTTTGGTGGTCCCCAACCAGTAGTGGCAAAGGTGAAACAAATAAGGTACATAAATGATTATGTCAAAAAGTGGTTGCTAGCTCTGACTCTAAACTGGGACAGAAAGATACAAAGCTCTGAAAAATTTTCAGGTATTTCAGATGATGAAAAATGTTGTGTATGTAAACTTCTTCAACAAAAAGAACTAAAAAACTTTGTTTTTCTGGTGTTCACTTAATGGGCTCAATGTGACTTTCAGTTATGAAATCACTGGAAACATCTAAAGAACTGTTGCAAAAAGAGGACACAAGATGTCTTCATCTGTCCATGTCATAGCACTGAATACTGAGGAACAGTCCATATAAGAAATAATATCACACAGGTCATTTTTTTTCTGGAAGGACATATTTATATTACATTGATTAAATAACTGAAGACACATGATTGGTAAAAAAGATAAATAAGTGAAAGGTATGGCCATAATTTATGGATTACTGTTCATTTTTTTACTTAAGAAAATTGCCAAAAATATCTTGTTATATGAAAAATCTGTCAATCAATGATATGTTTTCTGCCATTTTGGGTGATTTTAGAGAAAGTTACTATGGTATCACAGTAATCCCCAAAAATGCAATCATGGAAGGATTGAAAATCTTCAAATTAACTTGTGTTAAATTTCCAAAAGTTAACCTACTTAATTGTATAATAAAATTGAAACTATATGAACAGATCTTATGTCAGGATAAGAGATCTTATGTCAGGATTAGGAATTATAACATATTTTAATTGACTGTGTGAAAACAATCAAGGAAAATAGTAGTCAAATATGAAGATATTATAAAATAGTTTTTATTTTCATGATTATATTCATTATTCACAAAATTAAATTTATTGCAAATGCTATGCGATTTTGTGTGTAAGTTTGGAAAATAGTAACATCAACATGTGTTTCTTTTACTAGCAGTCACAGAAAATATAAATAACAGTTACTGTGATAGCATAGAACCCTTGATATCATAGGAACTGACTATACATTATAATTTAAAACCCATCGGCAGCGACACATTTTTGGTTTCCAATACACTTAGACCTGCAAACTTTCAGCCGCACAATTTACTCATCACAACCACATACTGCATACGGCCATTTCATGTTTTATATGATATACATGCATCTAACACTACAAACTGGTGACAATGCCCAGTTTGGCTTAAGACATAAAAATCCTTTATCTCGAAAAATTATTAATATGTTTCTTTCTAACTTGTTTTCTTATACATTTGCTTATTATATATGATACAAACAAAAATAATAAAAAAAATTAGTTATTGTTCTACATCAATAAATATTGAAACATCTTTTTACGACTAAGCAATATGTGAAATATGAAAACGTTGTGATTAATAGTTTTTAAGACAATGAGCAAATATCATTCTGTTATTTCAGACACAAATGACCTTGAGCTTTGAACTAGAAAACAAATCAATGGGGGTTATTTACTTTATACCACTAACCAATATGTGAAATATGATGACTTTGTGGTAAATGGTTTTCAACTGATAATCAGCGAAAACCACGTGGTCTTTAGACTGACAGACTGACTGCCAGACATTAGCAAAACATATACCCCCGTCATCTTCTGTTCAACATTTTTGTGTTTATCAGATATAGAAGAATGACTTGATATTTCTCAGTAATTGTAAAAGTAAATAACTGAAAACATTTTAATCATATTTGAATTTTAAAAATAATATTTGGACAAAATAAACATAATCTGCAGAAGTCTAAAATGATATAAAATTTTAAATATCAGTTTTTTGTGAATTTTGTGATAAATTGTTATCTTTTATTTAGGGTCTAAATTGAAGCAAAGGAATACAAGCTGACAACATGGTGGACAGTAAAGATACACTTTGTGAGAAATTTTAACCTCCATTGCATCATGAGTGTGAAGTGTGTTATAAAGTGTTTTCTACAGAAACTTCAGTCATATGGCAATACACACTGGCATGAAAAAACACAAGTGTGAAGTATGTGATGAAGCGCTTTCTACAGGACATAGTCTTATCAGACATATGACAGTACACACTGGTGATAAAAGTCATAAGTGTGAAGTATGTTATAAAGTGTTAACTACACAAAGAAACCACAAAGAAATGTGACAACACATACTTGCAAAAAAAAATATAAATGTGAAGTAAGTGGTAAAGCATTTTCTGCACAAAGTAATCTCATCTCACAAATGGCAATACACACTTCTGAGAAGAAACATAAATGTGCAGTATGTGATAAAGCATTTACAACACAAGATATTCTTATATGTCAATGCACACTGGTGAGAAAAATCATAAGTGTACATCCTGTGGTAAAGCATTTTCTCAACGGAGTCATTTTACCAGACATATGACAATGTCCCACACTGGTGAGAAAAATCATATGTGTGAATTCTGTGGTAAAGCATTTTCTCAACGGAGTCGTTTTACCAGACATATGACAATACACACTGGTGAGAAAAATCATATGTGTGAATTCTGTGGTAAAGCATTTTCTCAACGGAGTCATCTTACCAGACATATGACAATACACACTGGCGAGAAAAAACATAAGTGTGTAGTATGTGATAAAACATTTTCTAGAAAAAGTAGTGTTATCGGACATATGGCAATACATACTGGCGAGAAGAAACATAAATTTGAAGTATGTGATGAAGCATTTACTACACAAGGTATTCTTATGACCCATATGACAACACACACTGGTGAGAAAAATCATAAGTGTAAATTCTGTGGTAAAGCATTTTCTCATCGGAGAAAGTTGACCAGACATATGACAATACACACTGGCGAGAAAAAACATAAGTGTGAATTCTGTGGCAAAGCATTTTCTCAACGGAGTCATCTTACCAGACATATGACAATACACGCTAGCGAGAAAAAACATAAGTGTGTAGTATGTGATAAAGCGTTTTTTACAGGAAGTAATCTTAACAGTCATATGACAATACACACTGGCGAGAAAAATCATAAGTGTGTAGTATGTGATAAAGCGTTTTTTACAGGAAGTAATCTTAACAATCATATGACAATACACACTGGCAAGAAAAAACATAAGTGTGAAGTATGTGATAAAGCCTTTTCTACAAGAAGTATTCTTAGCAATCATATGGCAATTCACACTGGTGAGAAGCATTATAAATGTGAAGTGTGTGATAAAGCATTTTCTACACAAGTTAGTGTTATCACACATATGGTAACACACACTGGTGTGAAAAATCATAAGTGTGAATTCTGTGGTAAAGCATTCTCTCACAGGGGTCATCTTACCAGACATATGACAATGCACACTGGCGAGAAAAAACATAAGTGTGTAGTATGTGATAAAGCATTTTCTGATAAAAGTAATCTTATCAGGCATATGGAAATACACACTGGCGAGAAAAAATTTAAGTGTGTAGTATGTGATAAAGCCTTTTCTAGAAAAAGTGGTGTTATCGAACATATGGCAAAACACACTGGCAAGAAGAATTATAAATGCAAAATGTGTGATAAAGCATATTCTTCACGAAGTTATCTTATCACACATATGGCAATACATACTGGCGAGAAGAATTATAAATGTGAAGTATGTGATAAAGCATTTTGTACACAAAATACTCTTATCACACATATGGCAATACACACTGGCGAGAAAAGATATAAGTGTGACATTTGTGCTAAAGCTTTTTTTCAAAGCAGTTCTCTTATTAAGCATATGACAATCCACACTGGCGAGAAAAGATATAAGTGTAAAATGTGTCATAAAGCGTTTCATACAGGAAGTAATCTTATTAGGCATATGACAATACACACTGGCGAGAAGAATCATAAGTGTGAAGTATGTAATAAAGCATTTTCTGATAATAGTTGTCTTATCAGGCATATGAAAATACACACTGGCAATAAAAAAACATAAGTGCGCAGTGTGTGATAAAGTATTTTCTACAAAAAGAAGTCTTTTCAGTCATATGAAGATACACACTGTCGAGAAGAAACATAAAGTGTGAAGTATGTGATAATGAGTTTTCTGCATCAAGTAATCTTATCAGACATATGACAATACACACTGGCGAGAAAAAACATGAATGCGGCATGTGTGATAAAGTTTTTTCTCAACATACTCATCTCATCACAAATATTACAACACACACTGGTGAGAATAAGTAAATAATACTGTGACACGCTGGTTAGTGAAAACTATAGATGTTCAGTGTGTCATTAAGCTTTTCCAACATGGTTCTTAAAACTAATATATGGCATTACACACTGGTGATAAAACATATATTTTAAGTTCACAGGTAACAAATCCTATTTTTAAAAGAAATGTTGTTAAATCACACATGTTGAATTAGCACCATTGAGCTAAATATAGACTAGTCGTTGAACTTTTTAAGCAGAGCTTTCTCTATTATGATTTTACTTTTGTTTGATCGAAAGAACAAGATGTATGTTTGGTTTAAGAAAGTTATTTTATCAGTTTTTTAGTTTGATTGATTAAACAATATGCCTCTCTGTTATCTTTATTTTATCATTATACCCCCAAAAGCGAAGTTTGGTCACCCGGTGGTCGGTCGGTCGGTCCAGACGTCCGTTTCATTTTCCTTGTCCAGAGCATAACTTTAAGGCTAATGATTTGAAATCAATACAACTTCATACAATGTTCAAGCACATTGAGAGGAAGTGCAGTGCACAAGAACCATAACTCTATATTCACTAATTACAGAGTTATTGCCCTTTGTTACTTTTCCTTGTCCGGAGCATAACTTAAAAACTACTGGTTGGAATTCAAAACAACTTCATACAATGGTCAAGCATGATAAGGAGAAGTGCAGTGCAGTGCACAGACGTTTCAATTTTTGTTTCAACAGACAAACATTTCATTTCAGACACATTAATAGACAACGATTTTCAATTTTGATTTTTTAGCTCGACTTTTCTATGAAAAGGGGAGCTATCCTACTCGCCCCGGCGTCGGCGTCGGCGTTGGCGTCACACCTTGGTTAAGTTTTTCGTACCACCCCACTTTATTTCAGAAGTATTACAAGTATGGCTTTGAAACTTACCATACTTGTTCACCATCATAACCTCCATCTACAGACAAGAGTACATAACTCTGTCAAGGTTTTTGACAGAATTATGGCCCTTTTTTGACTTAGAAAGTGTATTGAGCTTGGTTAAGTTTTTTGTACCACCTCACTTTATTTCAAAACCATTGGAGGTATTGCTTTGAAACTGACCATACTTGTTTACCATCACGACCTTCATCAACAGACAAGAGGACATAACTCTGTCAAGGTTTTTGACAGAATTATGCCCCTTTTTGACTTAGAAAATACATTGAATATGGGTAAAATCCACTTATTGCCTTAACCCTTTGAGATATTGCTTTGAAACTTTTAATGCTATTTCACATCATTACCCCCATCTGTACGCAAGAGAAGGTAACTCTGTCAAGGATTTGTTTTAAAAATTAAGGCCTTTTATCGACTTAGAATCTTGGTTAAGTTTTTAGTACCAGTCCACTTTTTGACTGAACTGTTTGAGATATTAATTTGAAAGTTGGAATACTTGTTTACAATCATGATTCCCAAACATGTCCAGGAGAAGGTAATTCTGTCAAAGATTTTATTTGAATTATGGCCCTTAACTGTCAATGTTTTGTATTATAGGCAAGCACTAAAAAACTTAAAAAAATCTAAAAAAATTCATTCCTATCCACTTGTTCACTTTACCATAAATTATGTCATATAAACATTGCTGTAATATTCAAGGGTATCAAACAACTAGTTATTTTTCTCTTTTTGTACTTGAAATTAAAATCAGTAGTATATGCATATTTCACATTTTATCTCGCCTATTTGATTGGTGGACAAGGGTATCACACAATTCAGTAAAATAATTCTTCACTAAATATCTTAATGCTCATGGCCATTGTTCACTTTAAAAATAGAGATTCTTGTATTGCCTTTTACTGCAAAAACTTTTTTTATTGGCAAGCAATAAAAAAGTCGAGCGCGCTGTCTTACGGACAGCTCTTGTTACATTACCAGATTACCTAGCTGTGACTGTTCACATCATTTGGCGGCGTCTTTGATGTGCAGAATATTTTTTTATCCATTCACACCTTTTGACAAGGGATTAAACACCCCCCTATATAATCTATATTGTCTGCAAAATCTAAAATCCTTCTTTATTTAACTTGTCTGCAATTTATCCCCCTATGTTTAACTTGTCTGCAAAGTCGTCTGCAAAGTATACCGTCCCCTCAATGTGACTTTCAGTTATGCAATCACTGGAAACATCTAAAGAACTGTTGCAAAAAGAGGACACAAGATGTCTTCATCTGTCCATGTCATAACACTGAATACTGAGGAACAGTCCATATAAGAAATAATATCACACAGGTCAATTTTTTCTGGAAGGACATATTTATATAACATTGATTAAATAACTGAAGAGTCACAGCTCATGAATGTATAGCTGGTTCTTTTGGATAACCTTATGGGCCGGGCCCGTACGTCAAGCAACTTCCTATTGCTATACTGTATAAGATGAGTTTTATTTCATGTCGGCAAGTTTACAACAGTACAACATAAGCTAAGCAAAAATATATATATAAAAAAAAACACACTATATAATTGCACTATAGGCAGATTTAGTGTCCTCGTACCTAGCGAATGACCCTCAGTACTGATAAGGGAAGATCACTGCGTAGTTACTCCCCTTTGATTTATGTTCGTCATTTGCACTGAAAAGTTTTAAGAACTTGTTTCACTAGATTATCAGGTAACAAAGGTTTAATACTTATATATTTAGTTTTATTTAATGCTGTAATTTGTCCATGATTACGTCTGGTATATTGTTACAGTGACACTCAACCTTATTTAATAAAGGTATTCTCACGGTATTAAGTAAACGATTTTTTTTAATGAAACACTAACAGGGTATTCCACAGTCAAAGCACCCATCATTTTACTTTCACAATCAAATAAACATATGAGAACAAAAAAGTGTAATGTAGAATTTCAAAGTCATAATAAGTTTTTTTAAGATAACTTTGCAATGTCGGCTTCTAAACAGACTTCATTTAAAATCTATAAAGTTGTTTCCCCCCCCCCCAAAAAAAAATCAAATGGAAGAGTCTGGACTGTAGCAGAATTTATGGTGGGAAAACAGATCAGATTGGTCAGTACATGGTGAAAAATCGGTCAGTTGTGTAAAATCATTGTAGAGTAGTAGAGGCTGTGTTTATTTATTTATCCTACTTGTAAGAAATTATCAACAGGTCATTTATATTACAAACTAGATTAAGAGAGCTTAATGTATGAGTTTATTTCATAACAATTAACTTTACAGAGTGAAGAATAACTCATAATTGTCTGCAAATTTGGAGTCTTGAATAAGAACATGTACCAGTTTGTTGTTGTTGTAGTTTTTGTTGTTGTTCTTTTTATACTTAAAAGAACAACAAGGACAGGCTTATGTGAACTATCTCATATATTTTAAAACTAAATAATCATATACATGAATGTACATATATATTCAAATTAAGATAGCACTCTTAGTTCAAAGTTGCTTACATAATGTTAAGAATTAAATCCTAAGTGTAGATAATGTGCATGCAGATTGTACAATTGCATCAAAGATATTACAGTATTTAAATAAGAACAATTTCTCTAAAAGATTTTCTAAGTGTGAATTGTACATCTTTATCATTGAAAAATACAGTTGTAGTTTTGGACTTAGATTATTTTCAGCACAAAATATCAGCTCAATATTTTCTAAGTATCAGAATTACATGTGAACATCTAAAACACAGGTATTGTCTCAAAAATACACCTGTATAATTGTTAAAATACACCTGTATTTCTTAGTCAAAATGTCAAATTCTGCAAACACAGGTCCCTAAATCCTGTATTTCTACAAAAACAGGTGTTTTTCAGTCGTCTTACAGTTGTAAAACAGGAGTTTTTTTCACACGGGTTATAACATATTTTAATTGACTGTGAAAACATGATACAAACCAAAATAATAGAAAAATTTAGTTACTGTTCTACATTGATAAATATTGAAACATCTTTTTAGACTAAGCAATATGTGAAATATGAAGACTAACTTTGTGATTAATAGTTTTTAAGACAATAAGCAAATATCATTCTGACATTTCAGACACGTGACCTTGAGCTTTGAACTAGAAAACAAATCAGTTGGGGTTATTTACTTTATACGACTAACCAATATGTAATAGAAAGAGCACCAAAACACGAGGCTATCTGATTTGTACGAGGGGGCGTAGCCCCCGAGTATTAATCAGATTGCCGAGTGTTTTGGTGTTCTTTCTCTTTTGTATCATAGTCAAACATAAAAGCACGTTCCCTGTTGTCACAATATGAAACCCCGGCTAAAATGAACCAATCAACGAACATCTGAATATGACATTTCTGTCGCTTTCCCTTTCTCTGCCGTCACAATATGTAAACCCCAGCAAAAATGAGCCAATCAATGGGCATGCTCTGGAGTGCGGGTAACTAATACCCGCACTCCAGTTAACTCACTGTGCATGTATATGTATACGATTTAACCCCGACACATTTTCAACAGAAAGGTCTCCAAACTATGATACAAGTGAAATATGATGACTTTGTGGTAAATAGTTTTCAACTGATAATCAGCGGAAGCCAAGTGGTCTTCAGACAGACAGACCGACCGCCAGACATTAGCAAAACATATAGCCCCTCATCTTCTGTTCAACATTCTTGTGTTTATCGGATACAGAAGAATGAGTAATTGTTAAAGTAAATAACTGAAAACATTTTAATCATCTTAGAATTTTAAAAATGATATTTGGACATAATAAACAAAATTTGCAGAAGTCTTAAATGGTAAAATTTATAAATATTAGTTTTTTGTGAATTGTGTGATAAATTGTTATCTTTTATTTAGGGTCTTAATTGAAGCAAAGAAATACAAGCTGACAAGATGGTGGACAGTAAAGACACACTTTGTGAGAAGTTATCATCCCAATTGCATCATGAGTGTGAAGTGTGTTATAAAGAGTTTTCTACAGAAACTTATCTTATCAATCATATGGCAATACACACTGGAATGAAAAAACACAAGTGTGAAGTATGTGATAAAGCCCTTTCCACAGGAGGTAATCTTACCAGACATATGACAATACACACTGGCGGGAAGAAACATAGGTGTAAAATGTGTTATAAAGAGTTTTCTACACGACATGGTCTTATCAGACATATGACAATACACACTGGCGAGAAGAAACATAAGTGTGTAGTATGTAATAAAGCCTTTTCTACAGGAAGTATTCTTAACAATCATATGACAATACACACTGGCGAGAAAAATCATAAGTGTGTAGTATGTGATAAAGCCTTTTCTACAAAAAGTAGTGTTATCACACATATGGCAAAACACACTGGCGAGAAGAATTATAAATGCGAAGTGTGTGATAAAGCATTTACCGCACGAAGCACTGTTATCACACATATGGC